TGTAGTTGAAACTGAACTGGAACTCACTATGTAGCCCAGGCTGGTCTCAAACTCACAGCAATCCTCCTGCCTCAGCCTCCCGAGTGCTGGGATTACAGGTGAGCACCACCACGCCCGGCTTAACCATAGTATCTTTAAATGACAGTTATTTCAATATTTCATAAGAAATGTGAGAAAGCGCAAGGTCTGGAGTTTGATCCCCGGTACCAATCCCCTCCAAAAGTACAGAATATTAAACTAGCGAATTCATCTAGTTAAATGTTAGGCAACCACTATGGAGAGGCTGAAAAATATAACTGAGTAAGTCTGAACTATCTGCCTTCATTCGATTGAGACATTAAAAAAAAAAAAAAAAAGTCAAGCATGGTAATGAATACTTGTATTCCCAGAACTTAGGAGCAGGGGTAGGAGGATGGCATGAGTTTGAGGCCAGCCTGAGCTAACAGCAAGACCCTGTCTCAACCCCCCTACCAAGTCAGCCGAGCGCAGTGGCACACAGCTGTAATCCCAGCTAGTCAAGAGGCTGAAGCAGGCCAAGTTAAAGGCCAGCTTGAGTGAAGTAACTTAAGGAGATGCTCTTTCAAAACGGGAAATAAAGGATGGTAAAGGAGTAGTAGCGCTCCTGTAGGTTCAACTCCAGTAACAGGAAAACAAAACAGAAAACTCTAGGGCCTAGTGTGGTGCTACTCAGGTGCTCAGGGAGAATCACTGCAGCACGAGTCAGGGCCATTTGAGGCACCACAGCAAACCTGTTAGGCAAACTCCAAACTAACGATAAGTCATCTGGCGAAATAATCCGGGCCAATTCCTTCGTTTTTAGGAAAACGAAGTTTAAAACGGGCGGTGTGGCAAAGCCTGTAATCTCAACTCTGGGGGTCTAAGGCAGGAGGATCGAAAATTGCCCAGTTTGGGCAATTCACGAGGCTTTGGCTCATAAACAAATAAATAAATAGGGCTGGGGGGGATGTAGCTCAGCGGGAAGCCTTGGGTTCAAGCACCAGCACTGCAACCACCACCATCACCACAAAGCTCCCAAAACCCTGAAGCATAGTGAAGCGGCTCCTCTCTCCGCCATTTATTTTTGAATTGTTTTTGCGATTACACCTATGTCCAAAGGTTACGACTTAATATATGCTATGCCGCTATTAAATAGCATGTGACCATAGCTCTATAAAGCGTCCTTCCCCGACTGGCGTGATGGCGCACGCCGATCATCCCAGGACCCTGGAGGCTAAGGCAGGAAGATCGCCGTGAGTTTGGGCCCAGCTTGAGCTACACAGAGAGACTCTGTCTCAAAATAACAAAAAACGTCGGGCAAAGGTGAACACAACCGAAGTCACGGTGCGCCGCGCCTCGCCCCCGCCGTCCTCTGCGTCCGGAGCCGGCAGATTCCGGGAGCTTGGCTTTGATCTCAAGCCCCAGCAAAGTCTCACCTAGCCGGGGAGGGCACGCGGGAAGTGCGGCTTCGGCTTCCACGAGGCATCCTTAGCACGGTACTACACAGCGTCTAGAAACGGCAAATCCTGCGAAGATTCTTGCTGCTTCTGAAGAGAAGAGCGGAAGACGGGAGGCGGGACCGACCTTGCGTGTGACCAATCAGCATGCAGACAGAGCCCTTCCGGTTGCCTACGTCTCCAGGGGCCCTGAAGGTCATTGGAAGAGCAAGGCGTCAAGGGCAGCGCCTCACCGTACGCAGTGACGTCATGAGCTCGGCGCCTCTGCGCTTTAGAAAGCCGGAAATTCCTGCGGTTCCGCTACAAGCGCTGCCCCCACCTGTCCTAACACCCTTAGCAGTTTGCTTCCTAGGGCAGAAGGTCCGTTTCATCATCCTGGGCCACGCAGAGAGCCAGCCAGAACTACATAGCGAGACCGTGTCAGGAAACCGAAGGGAAAAAAGTCTGTTACTGCTTCCTTCAAATATTTGTATTAACGTGGTAGGTTAAATGCAACCTTGGGAATGAGTCACATCTCAGGCCTAGTTGCCAGGGACCTTGGGCAAGTTTATCTTTCTCATCATTAAGTTATTTAAAAAGGCTAGGGAGGTAGATCAGTGCAAAGGCCCTGGGCTCAATTTCTAGTACAAAAAAAGGAAAAACAAATCTCGCTGAGTCACTACATTGCCCAGGCTGGGTTTAAATTTGTGATCTTCTTGCCTCAGCCTCCCAGAGTACTGGGATAACAAACGTATGCCACCACACCCAACTGGCAACTTTTTTGAGACAGTGTGGATGTATAAAGTAAACTCGAGAAGACTTCGTTTTACAGCTAACTTCAGGGCTTTACTTGTACAGTATTTCTTGTTCTTGTGTGTGGATCCAAAAAAGTTAGATTCAGAAAATACGAATGCCTTTCATTCGCATAACACACTATACATCTTAGCCCCTTTTATATATATTAAGGTGTCTGTGTCCAGAATTGGGATAAAATCAGTACCCTGGTAATTTGACAAAATTTTACTGAATAGCCTGATAGGTTCTGGAGATACAGCAATTAAATAAAACAAACAAAAACTTAAATGGAGTTTAAATTTTTAGGAGAGGAGACACAAGCTCCATGATGTTGTGGTGACATCAAGAAAGAGCAGGTGGGGGTGGGGACTTAGCTCAGTGGTTCTGCTGCCTGCCTCTCAAGTGCAAGCTCCCAAGTACCAAAAACAAAACAAAAAGAGAGCAAGATAGTGTTATAAACAGCTGTTAGGTAGAAATAGCCTGTCAGACAGGCTCTAGGCCCCCGAGGGAGTCAGCGCAGAGGATGAGAACAGATCACAGCTGTAGCTGGAGGCGCTTCAAAACATAGCCAGGCCTCAAGATGGAGATGTGACATCCAGGCCTGGCGTCTCCAGGGGAAAGTTTTGGAGGTGAGGTGAGGTTTTTGAGAGAGAAAAAACAAGAGGTAGAACTTCCTTTTCTGCTGGGATGTCAATCCTAAATTTCCCCTTCTGCCAGAGTGGCAAAAGATTTGCTTTTGTGGTGGTGGTGGTGCGAGTTGTTTCTGAGGCAGGGTCTGACTACGTACTTTGAGGCTGGCCTCCCAAGTGTTGGAATGACAGGTGCGCGCCACCACGCCCAGCTTGTGGCCACTTCTTTACACCTAAGAAGTATCTAAACGGGCGTTCTGGAACTGAGTTTTTTTTTTGGGGGGGGAGGGTGACGCGGACAAGCTAATGCCACTGGTGCTGTCTTCTTTTAATTAAAAACCTTCAAAAGGCATATCCACTGGATGTTACTTAACTAACAATTGTAACACAAAGAGTGAAGGAGTAAACTTAGGCGATGTGGAGTTCTGGTGACCAACATGCAGTTACAGCTGAAGTCTGCGAAAATACTTTTAACGGGTCCTTTGGGTATCCTGTAGAAAATCAGAAAAAACCAAAACATTTAGGCAGAGCATAGCACTGGAATTCTTAAAGGGGTGTGTGTGTACACGAGCGTGTTTTAAGAGATATTTTCACTGGGTTTAGTGATGCACGTCCACTAGTCCCAGCACTCTGGGAGGCTGAGGCAGGAAGATCAAAAATTCAAGCCCAGTCTGAGCAATTTAGCAAGACTGTCTCAAAAGATGATAAAAGGGGTGGCGGTGAGTCTCTGTGCAAAGGGTCCAATCCCCAGTACAGCAAAAATGAATGAATACATTAAATCAATCTTTGTTTCCCAAAACCTTGCAGCCAAATGCCGAGCTGAAAAAGCAGCCTACCCCCTACGCTAGCGCGCAGGCGGTGTGGGGCGTCCTCAGCTGGGCGGGTGGCGCTCCAAGTGGCCTCTCAGGCAACGCG